ATCTGTTCACCAAGGGTCATAAATACATCACCAGGCAGAAAATGTTACAATAGTCGTTGTAGTGTAGGTTTATTGAGGCGGGGTGGCCTCGGTGATAGTGGTGGGTCCGAGACGGGGTGGTCTCGGACCGTCAGGTAGTAGAATGCTGACTTAATCTAGGCGTGCCTCTCAATACAGGAGAGGTCACGCATCGAGTATCTAACTATTTACCTATGGGTCATAATCACATGCTCAATATTGCCTATGGGTTACACATATCAATCAGTCAGTCATAAAAGGGTGCGCCGGCAGGTTCTGGTGGCAATCCAGAACACCCCCTCCCAAACACGTCCACTCGTTTGCAAGGAGCACGACCACGAAAGTGGCCCAGAAAAAAAACGGCTTTCTAAAAAGTTTTCAATTTTTTTTGAAGTGTTGTAATTTATGAGCACCTTTCTGGTCGAGGAGTGTATTTCGATGTATTCGTTCCTTTATCTGCCGGTCTGAAAGGTAAGCATTTATCTTTCAAGTTATTCACTAGGGGTGAATTCGTTTGTGCATATTGAGGAGGTCCATCAAGGAGGATCATATCCCGGACTACGATTCATGTACAGTGCTCGAATTAAGCATGAACGGGTTAGACGGAAAAACTCACCTGAAAATATGACCGGCATCAGCGCTGTTTGTACGATTCCGGTTGTGTTCATGCCGACTACCCGAGGTGTATGTGTGGATATTGCCATCCCAATCGTCGTACTCTTCGCTGATCTCTGAAATATTTAGATGTTAGATTCCCTTCGACGTATATTGGATAGCCGCAGTATTGCTCGCTGCCGATACTGGGGCGTGTCAGGAAGGCTGAGTTTGGCGCGACGCCAGCCCCTTTCCCGCCATTGCTCTCACTTGCTAACGTTGACACTTGGTGGGGAATGGGTTTCGTGTGTCACTGTACACGCCATCACCGACCATTCCCTACCCCCCCCCCCTTCCTGACACGTCAAAGCCATCCGCAACAGACTAGGCCTTGCTCGACGTCAAATTCTATCAGGTGTACATCATCATTGTTTGGTTCTGATCGAAGGAAAGGTGTCGACGCTGTTTCAGGGTCTCATATAGAAAAGATATCGCCGTAAATCCGCAGGGAGGTTGGGGGGGGGGTGTTAGAAGGGGTGGAAACTCACTGAGAGCTCCTCTAGGGCTGCATTACCTTGCACCTTTGTACCTGGATCGGCCATTATATGGCATAAAAACGCGAAGAGGTTGTATTCAGCATCTCTACGCGCGCCGCATTGTACATAACGGCAGGGCAGAGTGCGGCCAAAAAAAACAGGTTGGGCTATTTTGTTGATAGTCGTATATCTACCCCACACCTTCCTCCTCACTAAACAGTGGAATCGTCAGTAAATGCAGTCGTTCCCTACAAACGAGAGGGCGTGTTAAAGGTCATTGGCGAGCGACCAGACGCCTAGCTGCCCCACTAAAGAGAAAAGCTCCAGGGGATTCCGGCTGGAAGGAATGTTCTGAGTGCCGTAGCGTGTAGGATGAGAAGGGGGACCACACCGGAGCCCTCAACAAAACCCCTTTTCGCAATCTTTGTTTCAGGCAGGCTCCCGGCTTAGATACCAAAAGTCGCCGAGTTCAAGAGTCCAAGATCGGACGACGTCCTTGGTCCATTCTCGCGGAGCACATCAAGTAAACTAGTTCTCAGCGAGTACGGTAATCCTAGTGCCAAATTTAAGGCCTACCTAACACACAATTTCGTTCGGTGTGGATGCTGGGGCGTGTCAAGGGGCAGGCATTGGCGTGGCGCCTTCCTGGTTCAATATTATTGTAGTGCTTGCCCGCTTCAGAAAGTGGTGAAGGAAGGATGCTGGAGCTGCGCCAAATCCAGCTCTTCTGTCTGCCCAACAGCACGTAATCTGATATCAAATTTGTGCCACTGCTCGAAGGTGATGCTAACAAAATCTTTGGAGTCTTAGTGGAGAAGTTTAGTTAGAACTGGGTATACTCGTTGGGGATCGATCAAACTCTGAGGGACAATTCGAAGTTATGGAGACGAAATGATGAATCAGTCGCCACTGTTACAATGAGCTTTGGCGCAGAACTACGGTAGTTGGGGTTGTGGTTTTGGCGCGATTTAGCTTAGGGGGGGGAGTATTTTACACTTTCGCTAATTTCTTTTGATCATGTTTACGAGAAGGTTAACTTGTAAGATCTTGTGAAAGCGCGAAGAAAGTGCCGAATGGTGTAACTGAGCCAGTTCAGTTACAGGTTTTTACAGATTTTCACAAGGTTTTCTATACAAGCTTTGCTGAGTAGCACTTGAGTGCCCCCACCAAGGGGAACGGCGCCCTACATTTGATGCTAGCGTTCTTGATGAACCAGGCCAAGTTACTTCCTGGTCAAAACTCGTTAGCGAATTAAGACAGTAGTCGATGTGTACCGCCACCGAACGGCGCGCCTATTGGGTTAGCGAGAACAAACCAATAAAGAATGAAGGAGGATAATAAGGTTCATGGGAATGAAGTAGCAAGGAGAAGCAGAAAACTGTCAAGATGCTCGAAATGAATAGTGTACCGTGAGAATTGTCGGAACAGTTGGTAAGAGAGCTTATGTGCATGGTGATGAATTGTGATAAGTGATAATGATAGTGTGTGTGTTTGCTGGGTGTGATGAGAACGACTCGCTACTAAATCGAATTTCTCTCACCTTCGAACGTTTTCGACGCTCTCGTTGTCGACGGGCTGTTGTTTGCCGGTGAAGTGGCCTGGAGAAATGGGTGCTTAATAAGTATACTTGCGCCATTTTTTTGCAGGGAAAACGACTTACCCCTTCTTGCTGTCGCTTTTCTTCCGCTGCTTAGTTTTTCTTCCTGTTCCGTCATTGACGTTTTTGTTGAAGAAAGCAGACAGAGGGTTGAAGGCACCTTTATGGAGACGTCAGATGCACCTGAATAGCTCCGTCGAACATGTCTAAAGGTTCCTGATGACCGAGAGATCGCATGTACTTGGGGGAGAAGACAATTAGTGCAGGCAAGAAGTTAGTGGTATTACATAACGCTGAGGAATGCTCGCATGGAGCTGTGTGACAAGGGGGGGGGGTTGCAAAAAAGACTTGGCCTTGTGGACCGAGGCTCAGTATCAGGTAAAGCGATAAAGCGCAGGCCAGAGGAGGTGAGTGCGAGTAACAGAGGTGATACCCTGGAAAATTCCTACGAATGGAGGAGGGGCTTTCCGTTCATTGCTTAAATGTACAACACGAAATATGGAATCATCGTGAATCGCAGAAGAACTAAACTGAAGAAGGCCTCGAATTTCCGACCAGTCGACACAGCCTGGTAAACTTCTTGGGGATGGAGTCCCTCATGGATAGTTCGTGGAGACAGTACTCTCATCTGCAAGACTCCAACAACATGGGAGCAGGGCCAAACGTCGCAACGTTCAGATCATTTCACGAGGTCGCCAAGGTCCTGGTTCATGGTATAGACCAGAAAGTTACTTGGACTGGGCGAAGCACTGGATAGTTTTTCTTCGTGGACCCTGGATTGAGAGTGAACGCTAATTCTTTTATCAAGCAGCTCGAGGAGAATATCCTGCCTTCATGTCGTCGCTTGTACTCTTGGAAACTTTGTACTGCTACAGGATTGGGTGCCAGCACATGGAATCGAAGGGCGTTGGAAAACTCTCGCCTACTTGGAATCGAAGGGCGCTGAGTACCTGAAGAAGACGGAATCCAAGTGTGTCACCTGACCTGGAACCCTCTTAATTACCGGGTTGGGGAGAAGCTCAGCAGGGTGGTCCACAGTGGCGGAGAAAACAACGACTCGAAGGCTGCTTGAGGCAGGACAAGTCTTTGCGCTGAGTCCTAAGTGTACTCTCGGTTCCGTGGGCACTGTTCCATGCGAAGTACGAGGTGAGCGAGTCCACAGCTGCAGCTCCTTGCCAAATGTCACAAAAGTGCACCAAAACGGAATCGAAGGGTATTGATACCCAGATGACTCTCCATACTTCGCGGCTGCACGACGAGCCAATTTAAACCAGAGCTAACGCACAATTTTTTTCTCTTACATTTTTGGTCGTTCGCCACGAGAACTCGGTGTCGGCGCTTGTGCTGCACCTGAGGAGTAAAGATAAAGCACTCAGATATCACTACCCTCCAGTCCATTCTTGTTTACTTAAGTGGCACGCTGCTGCAAGTTTGGTAAGGCGGTCCTTTGGTTGTTACTGTGGTGCAAAGCTGGTATGAGAAGGGGCAAGGTGGCTGCGGACTTCTGGATGAAAAACAGAAGTTCGACGCGGTCAAAGGAAACACGCTCCACTGCGGTATTTTAGTACCAACTCGAAGTACAGCACCTGGAGGGTAACAGGGGAGTCCGGAACGGCACCCGGGTGTCATTACCTTTCAGCCTCATTTCTGCGCGCTCACACATG